GGCAGTGAGATTTTGAGTTTTTGAGCCGCGAGCAAAGTCCGGCCTTGAGAATATCTCACCTGGATTTAGACTTGATGCGCTGAACACTCACGACGGAAGACTGGGTAGGCAGAGGTGACACTGAGGAAGGTATGCGGAAGAAAGCCAGAGGTCATTCAAAAGACAGGAAGAAAGAAAAGACCAAACTGGATGCCAGGGAGATTATTCTGACTCGTGCGCTTGAAGGGTGGTTAGCTACAGTGAATGGAAGAAAGGTCGGCGAGAGCTGAACAGAAGATTCCGTGGGTGCCTGGAGCAGACAAGGGAACGTATTACGTAGGGAAGCATGCAAAGACCTGGAGTTGGAAAAGCAAAAGGCAAGCGCGTGCTCCCCATTTCTCAGGTGACAGAGCTGTGACCTGAAGGATTCTGCGGGCAAACACTGAACGGCACTGGCAGCATCAAAAGGAGGCGGGAGGGGTTAGGTGTGGCTCATCAGACATCAGTAGTGACACATCCTCTTCTGAACCGGCCTACATCTTTGGCAGGCCCCTACTGATGGACTACTGCAAATGCTTTTGACTTTTTTTCAGCAAAACTTGATTTGCATGTGGTATTAATGATATTAGGTAATTTTTACATATAAGATCTTTTTAGCAGTGTCTTATCAACTGTACAAAGGTGTTTGACTGTATGGATGATAACAGAATGTGGATAACCTTGGGAAGAGTGGGAATTCCAGAAGACTTCATTGTCTGTGCTCATGTGGATCCATAGACCAAGAGACAGCTCTTTAAAGGGAGCAAGAGGGTGCTGGGTGTTTAAAATCAGGAGAGGGGTGCGTCGGGGGGGTGGGGGGGGTGTCCTTTCAGCATGCCCACTCAGTCTGTAGGCCGAGCAAGCAGGGCAAGACGCTGAACTCTGGAGGAGAGCGTGGCATCAGATCAGAAGAAGGGCGTACCAACCGTCTGATAGCAGATGACACAGCCTTGCCTGCTGGAAGCGCAGACGCCTGGAGGCACCTGTTGACGAAGATCAGACGCCTGCGCCAGTGTAGGCCACAGCTCCACGTGAGGAACAGATCCCCGCAACTGGACCAACAACAGTATCATAATAAGCAGAAAAGCTTGAAGTTCAGAATTTCATTTTGCTGAGATCCATAGTCAATGGCCATGGGAGCAGCAGTCAAGAAATCAAATAAGAGGGGGAGTGGGGAGGGAGGGGAAAAATGAGGACGTGATGCCAGGGCCTTAAGGTGACCAGATTTTAACATTGGTAAAGTGGACACCGTTGATAAAAGTCATATCCTGGCGAAATAGCCACATGGCAGCTGAAAACCGTATACCCTAGCTTCTTGTGCATTCTTTCCAAAAATCTGAATGTTTTTAAAAGGCCGCGGGACGCGGGAAAAATTGTTAAAATCAGGGCTGTCCCGCCAAAAGTGGGACGTCTGGTCACCTTAGCTTAAGTGGAGAGCACGTTTTGAGAATGATGAGGGCAATGCATGTAAAAATGTGCTTTACACAATTGATGTAGGTATGGATTGTGATAAGAGTTGTATGAGCCCCTAATAAAACGATTTTTTAAAAAAGAGAAAGAGTATGGTATTGGGCAAATCTGCTGCAAAAGATCTTTTTAAAGTATTAAATTTTTAAAAAAGGAAAGCTGTTTCTCTAAGAACCAGGGTGTCCCTGACCCAAGCCATGGTGTTCTCAGTTACATGTATATATGTGATCAAGGTGCACAAGGAAATGAGGAAAGATGGAGAATAGACGTCTTTGAATCACAGTCTTTGTGAGGGATGTTGACTATGCCATTACCGCCGTAAGCATGAACAAGTCTGTCTTAAACGAAGGGTAGCCAGAATGCTCTATAGAAGTGAGGATAGCAAGACTTCCTCCCCTTACGGTGCACCCGTTATCAATAGGGACCAGTTTCTAATAAAGGGCGTCATGCTTGGTAGGGCAGGGGTCAGAAAGGAAAACTGTTAGTCTGGGTAGACAAGAGAAACCAATTCATGGACACTCTCATGTATAGGAAAGAGCTTTATATACAAGAGCAACTGTACATTAAGAAAACAGCCCAGTCCAGATCAAGTCCATTAGTCCAGTATTAGCCCATATGCCCTATACTAATCTATAAAGTCCTTCAGACCCACGAAACACATGCAATGACACCGAATGCAGGCAGGTCACAGGCAAGTGGGTGCAAAGTCTTGTGGATCCAGTGGCAGTAGAAGCATCTCAGCACTGGCAGGGGTCCCCCCATGCTCCTCCTGTTCCCAGAGTACAAGGTCTATCAGCATAGTGCCTTGTGCCTTGTCAGTGTCTCTCAGGGAGTGAGCAGAGTGTCTGCTGTCTCCAAGGAGGAAATACAGCAATTCCCAGAATGTCCACACAGAGGCTTCATTGACGATCACCTGATTGACAGGCTAGACTCCACCCCTTCACTCTTAATCCTCAAATTGACAGATTATTTAACCACCACGAAGACCCTCGAGGAGATGGATTGATAGGAAAGCTGTGGCTGGGCTCAAAGACAGCGCGGGTTGTGGGGACGGAGCCAGACTCTAGGCAGTGTTTCACCCTGTTGCCCTTAGGGTCAGGACGAGCCTACCCGACCGCTCCTAACAACAGCGACAAAAAAAGGAGTGAAAGAGGTAGCAGGGCGAGTAGGCCTGCAAACCAGCCAGCCAAACAGATTTTAAGACGGGTTTGTTCACTCTTAAGGCATTGTTTGTGGGAGTAGAAAGGCCTCGTCCTTCACCTGCAGAGCCGCTGGTGGTTTCTGACTATTGACCTTGGCATCAGCAGCCTAAGGCGTGACTACCCTGCCACCAGGGAGGGCTCTGGCAGTAAGGAAAGGCACCCTGGAACAACGTGGTGTTCTCAGATCGTCCCTGGACGTCAGCGGCCTCGGCTGAACCTCCGCGCAAAAGCTAGCATGTGGATACGCGTGCGCTTTGCTCAGCTGGCTGAGGCAGCGATTGTGCTCCGTTCATTTTGCCTTCTTTATCTGAAGGGAGTCAGGAATTTGTTGTGCCCACTTCTTGAAAGGCAAGTGGAGTTTGCCAGCCAGTGTGTCACGTTCCCTGGAGACAGCGTGAGACACCGGGGACAGTCAAGCTGTGGCCCCAGTGGAAAGATGTGTGGCCTGTCGAGGTATGCATTGTAGTGCCAGGAATTTTATGCGTGCCTCTTCGTCTTCTGTCAGAGAGAAAAGAACTGATCTTGTTTCCAAAGCCAGAGCTGCAACGCATCCCCCACCCCCACCCCCAACAAAACACTATCTCTAGCCCCTTCTGGGCTGTAGCAGCCCTCCCTAGAGCTTCTGAGGCTGTAAATCTTCATGGGAGCAGACAGCCTCGTCCGTATCACGTGGAGCACCTGGTGTGTTTGAACCGCAGACCTTGCCGTTGGCAGCCCGTTGCCACCAGGCATTGCTGTGGGGGCTCTGTCAGGTGGTCCTAATGCCCACTCTATTTCCCTAGGTGAGTGCTAAGGGAAGGGAAGAATGATGTGGGCCGCCGCGGAGGCCAGGCTGTAGCGTGCTCCCAGGCCTGCAGATGCACGCAGAGATACTTTTCTCAGTCTGTCTCCAATTCTCCTAGCCGCTGTGTCCCTCTGGGTCTTAAGCAAGTTAGACTAAGACCCAGGTTGTAAGGGAAGGCGTCCTCAGGAACAGTTACAAGTGGCCTCTCGTTTGGGACTGTGAGGAGAACCGGGTTGCGGTGTGGTTGTGCCCTTCACTAACTGGTTGACTTGCTAACCTGCCTCCTCTCGTGCCTCCTCATCTGTGAGAGGAGGGCGTTGGACAAGATGTTCTCCCGGCCCCTGCAGCTCTCCAGAGCCGTCCATGATTCTGTGACTGTTTGTCGAGGCTGCTCCCGAAATCCATCCCATCTGTCAGAGAAGACTGCCTGACGCGGGCGGGGATGGACGCTTGCTTTTAAAGACGTCCCGGTTTCCCGCTCTGTGTCCTGTGTCGAGTAAGGGGCGCTTGACGTGCGTGGACTTCCACTAGACAGAGTTAGAAGGTCACTAGTGTCTTGTCCGAAGCGTCAGAGTCTCAGCGAGAATTCAAACACCGCCCCAGCCCCCAAAGGTGTGGCTAGAATGAGCTTTAGGACACATTTTGAAAACCCGTTAGGGCTAACTTTGTTGCTCTGTTGCTTTTTCATGGCGGGGCGGAGTGGGGGCGGTGTTCCTGTGCTGCGTGCTTGAGAGACGGCCACATCTAGGAATCCTGGCTGCTGGGATGACACTTCCAGAGCCCTGCTGCTCAGGGTGCAGCTTTGTCATCAGTGCTTCAGGTTCACAGATTGGTGACGAGGCCCCTGGCTGCATTTAGCAGAGACTCCAACTCGCTTGGCTCATAAGGGAACTACTGGTTCCTCTCACTAGACGCCGAGCAAGAACAGGCTGCAGGGCCAGTGCATGCAGCCGGCACGCTCTTCTAGAATCCCCGGCACCTTAGTTCTGCTCTCCACTGGATGTTGGCTTCCTCCCCAAGCTGTGCGCTCCTGTACCGCAACCTCAACACGATTGAAACTTGGGGTCAGATCATCCTTTATTTGGGGGGTTGGGAAGCGTGGACTGTCCTGTGCAATGTAGGATTTTTACCTGAATCCCTGATATCTGCCTACTAAATGCTGGAAGCAACTCACCCCTGAGATTTGGCCCTGAAAAAGCCTCCGTCCGTTGCTAAATGTTCCCTTGGAAACAGAAGGAGGCTGGCTGGGAACCAAGGATCTAAAGGAAGAGAGCCGTCTTCTCCTCAGGGGCTATTTAAGAATGGGGAAGTGTGGTTCCTGGAAGGTCCTTTTGTCTCACTTCCCCTGGCTGTGAATCTGGCCCACCCCGGAGTCGGGGAAGAAACTGGCTCCTTTGGGGCACATGACTATTCAGAGGCGGGTGAGGGCCCCCACATAGTGTGCAGCGGGAGGCATGGAGGCCAGGCCAGATGCCAACAGCACCAGCCACCACTGCAGTCTAACTGTGTCTTTCCCCCCCTCCTCTCAGTGAAGATTATGGCAAGAGTTTTAAGGATATCACAAATCTCATCAACAACACCTTCATTCGGACCGAGTTCGGCATGGCTATTGGACCTGAGAACTCTGGCAAGGTGAGACGCATTGGTGCCTGCAGCAAGCCTGTGCTCCGTGCCGCACGCAGGGGGCCCGGGGTTAGGACTAGAATTAGCCAGTGAAGCACAGACACATAGTCAGTTTAAACACATTGTCGACACAGGTGAACCCAGCTCGCGTTGGTCCAATCGTTTGGTTTATTCAGTGGAATGCAGGGCACAGGTGGTTGCTTCCTCTCCCAGATGCACTAGACCCTGTCTCATGCCGATGAGGTAGACCCCCAAAGACCACACGCGCCTGCCTCCAACTGCAGCCATGACCCTCAAGCTCGGCCCAGGGTGGTGCTGGGGAAGGCTACGCCTTGGGGAGCAGCGTGCAGCGACTCCTCTGTTCCGAGAGCACCTCTTTCTCTGGGAGCCAAACCGCTCCTTCCTGATGCTGGTGAGCTGCCTGTGTGTTCACAGCAGCACATCCTGATCCTGGTCTTGCCTCTTCCTGAGCAGGTGATCTTAACCGCGGAGGTGTCTGGAGGAAGCCGTGGAGGAAGAATCTTCAGGTCGTCTGACTTTGCGAAGCACTTTGTGCAGACGGACCTCCCTTTCCACCCTCTGACTCAGATGATGTACAGTCCGCAGAATCCCGATTACCTCTTAGCCCTCAGTACTGAAGTAAGTCCATCTTCTCTCTCCAGCCACCTCAGCATCTGGCCTCGCACATTTATGACTAGGAAAAAACCCAGTTGCCTGTTTTCCCATTCACGACGCAGGTCTGGCAGTGGTGTGTGCCAGGGTGCAAGGCAAGAGCGGTGTTCGCCGTGCTGGTTCAGGCAGCGTGCCAACCTGGCTGCACCGTGATTCTGGTGGGTGGGCAGCTCGCTAATGATCTCCCCGCCCCTCATTTTGTGATCTGAAGTGGTTGGCCGTTTGCACATTATGCCAATAGTTTTGTGACAACCTGATCTTTGGGACCCAACGGTGTGGCTGACTGAGGAGAGGAGGGCGTGGCCTGCCTTTGAAAGGCCGGTAGGTCATGCTGTCGCACCATCGGCACTCTCTGTGGAGCTTGTGGCACAAAGTACACTGCCCACTTTCTCCTGCTTAGTCAGGTGCATGCCCCCTGTCGGTCCTGTGGCCGTCACCGATGTTGCAAAGGAAGTGTGCGTGTGCTGGGACAGGAATGAAGGCGGCCGGATGTGGTTGTTTTGTGTGCCGCAAGGAACACGTGTGGATTGTTCAGCTCCTCCTGCTGTTTGCATGTGACCACACTGTATCTTTATTATTTTTGGTTAGTTCTTCAGTGTGTAAGTCTGAAGCGTATTGTTTCCTGCCCTTGGCACTCCTCTGTTAGATACTCAGAAATTCAGGTCCCTGTGTAGCCCCACCCACCGCCCCGTGCTTTCCCCAAGACCAGGGGCCCTTCCTCGCCCTCCTGCCTCTCCTGAAGGCCCCCTGAGGGGTTCATTTCACTTTGTCCTCTCCTGGACGGCCCTCCCCACCCACCACTGGAAAAGTCAGCAGGTTCTTGTGACTGCTGCGCCGGCCCTTAGATGCCATCCCTCTGCCCCAACTGGAATGACCCTGTGCACAACAGAACCACACTATTGTTGCCAGCTCCCGAGCCCTCCTGGAGTGTGTGCATCACGGCCGTGGTGGCTCGGGCTCTGAGTGCCTCGTACTCGTTATAGTAACACAGGAGGGAGCCAGGTGGCCCAGTGGGTCGGACGCTGGGCTGCTGGTAACTCCGACCTTGGCAGTCGAAACCCACCAGCTGCTCCAAGGGAGCCAGAGGCGGCGGCCTGCTCCCGTCGAGGTTTGCAGTGTAGGAAGCCCTGTAGGGGGTCCTGAGAGTTGGAACGGATTGGATGGCAGTGGCTGTGTGTGTGTGTGTGTGTGTGTGTGTGTGTGTGTGTGTGTGTGTGTGTGTTGGGAACTGGCAGGTATCCATTGCTCCTCCTGCCTCTGGTTTGGATCCACTGAAATTCCTCTTGTCCGTTCCCGCCCACGTCTTTAGGGAAACCAGCTAGATTGAGAGTGTTGTTCACTTACCTAGAGCCCTTCCCCGGGGAGCACCCATGTGTAGCAAAGACCAGGGGCCTCAGCCGGGCACAGCGGACAAGGCCGCCCGCTCTCCCTGGCGTCGGCTCCTCTGTCTCATGCCCAGACTTTGCTCCATGAAACCCCAGTGGTGGTTAGCTCCCTGCACGCGTCACAGGTGTTTCTGTTGTTTTGGTTTCTCCACGTTTCATTGTGGTTGAGAGTCACCTGGCGTCTTGCTGAGTGCCCGACGAGACACTGAAAGGTTAGCAGTGTAACCCCACCGGCCGCTGTGAGGGAGGAAGCGGTGGCAGTGTGCTTCCACGAAGACTGCAGCCCAGGAAACCCCGCAGGCACTGCCACTGTGATCCGTGGGCTCACGATGAGTCAGAATCGACTTGGCAGTGGCAGCTTTGCTTTGTGTGGTGTGCATGTGGGGGACGTTGGCAGAACAAACCAGCTCCCCATTCAGCAGTCTCTCCGCCTCTTGTTTTGTGACATGAGTTATGAGCCACCAAGGAGCCACACTCTTCCCTTTGCCCTGCAGCCCCGTTTCCACATGCCCATTGTCTGCCCGGCTCTGTCTGTGTGTGGGCCCTGGGGTGGCCGGCGGGTCCGAGGAGGAGCGGCTTCCTCGCAGATATCGCTGGTCATGCCCCCGGCTGGCAGGTGATCTGTAGGAGCCAGGTCAGCTCCGGCTTTGAAGGGCTTTTCTGCCTTCATTGGTACTCGGTCTCTACTAGTACTGCCTCAACTCATTCACCCGTGTGCGTGTGCGTGCGTGTGTGCGCTGTGGCAGCCAGGAGAGAGAGTCAGTGTGCATTCTTTCTGCCCCCTTAGGGATTGGATGTGTCTTATCAAAGATCATACAAGCAGCTGGAATTTTGATAAGTCATTTATAATCTTTCAGAATGGCCTGTGGGTGTCCACGAATTTTGGAGGCAAATGGGAAGAAATCCACAAAGCAGTCTGTTTGGCCAAATGGTGAGTAGCCACAGAGTCCACCTGCGCAGAACCCTGACCTTTCCTGACGGTGCTGTGCTCCCCAGAGTCACCGAGCAAACGCTGATCCTCGCCGTGTGCCAAGTGTGCTTCAGGGGCCGTGGTGACCCAGGCAGACCTTGACCTCGAGGGGCTCCTAGTTCCCTGACTTGTCCTCACCCAACATTAGACTGCAGAGTGAACAACCAGGCGCCTGCAGAATGGCCTACCCTCCCAGAGCCGGGACTTCTCCTGGAGTGTCCTGGAATGACAGCTGTAATTGGGGGATTTGAATGGAGCTCGGGAAATCAGGAGGAAAAGCCCTCAAGCTTCCGAATGCCCCCAGCTCCCTGTCGGCGGGCAGCAGAGCTCCTTTGCCCCCACGAGGAGGGCACCTGCTCTGAGATGGTCAGGTGGAGGGGGCTCTTTGTTCCGACCTAGCCCTGCTTTGAGCCAGACACTTGCCCTTGCAGGACACTTAGCGTTTCTCTTCAACACGCATCCTCGGGATTCGTTTGGGGGCTTCTCTAGGGATGGCTGAGAAAGAACTAAGAGCCTCAGACTTCCAAAAGCCTGTCCTTAGGCCCAGACCCTCCTTCTTCAGCAAACCGGTTAGTCTGGTTTCTCATTTCAGAGCAGATTTGCTGGCAGAGGTACAGGGTACTGGATCTGCTAATGACCAGCTCATGACAGTGTTAGAATTGACAGTGGGAGTGAAGGAGGCAGGCCAGGGAACGAAGGCGGGCACCGTCTTAGAGACCCCGACAGTGTGCTGTGTGAAAGCACTGAGCCCTGGCACCAGAGAATGCACCCAGCTTGGGGACTTCTACTGGGAGCACTCTGTGATCGCTTGAGACCCGTGATGTTGACCACCCATAGTCCCAGGAAGAGCCGAGTCTTCCTTGCACTCTGCATGAGAATCAGGAGCCCTGGTAGCATAGTAGGTTACGCATTGGGCTGCGATCCCCAAGGCCTGCAGTTTGAAGCCCTCAGCCGTTCCTCAGGAGAAAGCAGGGGCTTTCTACCCCCAGGAAGAGGGCCCCTCAGAAACCCACGGTGGCAGTTCCTCCCTGTCCTGTGGGGCCACATGAGTCGGAAACGACTCGCTGACAGTGGGAAAGTGTGTAATGCAGATCTGAAATTGGTCTTCCAAATGAATTAAGATATACTGTATGTTGCGTAAATAGAGTGCTCTCGGTGGAGCCTTGGTGCACGTGCCATGGCCGCTGCTCTCGTGCTCTGTTTGAACCAGTCCTCAGCTCAACACCGGGCCAACCCGGAGAAGCAGCAGCAGCAGAGGCTGCTGGGCCGTGCTCCGAGCTCAGCACTCGGTTGTCCAAGCCCGGGAATAGAAAGCCCCTGGAGGAACGGAGTCATTTTCAAGATGACCAGGCTACCAAACTGCTCACTCTCCCGGTCGATGGACCTGAGATACGGAGAATGTGTTCAAGCCAGAATCTCACTTTTTGGTTAAGAGAAGACCCCCAAACTCAACTGCCGTCGACTTGATGCCAACGCCTTGATGTCACACCTGCTGACCGTGCGGCTCGAAGCCGAGCGTGCAGCCGTGATGCCGCTGGGGCTCCTTGCTTGATGGTGAACCTTGAAAAACCAAGCCACTTTTATCAGTGGCATTATATTTTGTGTGCCAGACAAGGTTCTTCTACCACTGTTTTGTAGTGAGCATCTCCACAAATGATAGCAGGGTTGCTGGTAGCTTTTTGCCCACCTTGTTAGGTCCCTGTGGTCCAGGACTTTGACAACCAAAAGTGCTGTGTGAAGGAGCCCAGGCCCGTCCGCCTTTATTTACTGCGGACTATCTCTGAGTGGCATCAGGGGCTGCATTTAGTTCCCTGAGCGTTCCGAGCACAATTTAAATAATTCAGCCCCTGCCCTAGTTGTCTGTCGAGATGGAAGGGCTAGATTACTACTGAGCTCGCACACAGCCCGCACTGGGCCTGGGCCTGGGGCGGTGGCAGCAGGGCACACTCTGGGTGCTGCCAGTGGGGAGCCTCTCCAGGAGGGGGCAGGCGGGGCAGCTGACTGAAAGGTCTGCGGTTTGAACCCAGCCGTCACCCTGAGGGAGCCCCATGCGGCTCCCTGCTAACAAAGATGATGGTGAGGAGACCCTGGGGCCATTCCAGCAAGTCCTCGGGGGCTGCTCCAGATAGGGACCAAGGGCAGGCAAGGCACGTGTGCAGAAGGGAGCGGCCCTTTCAGTTGGGCTGCCGTGTGCTGGTCACCGCGGGGTGTTTCACAGCTTCCCTGGCCTTTGTTGACCACCACCCCCCAAGATGTGATGACCCAGAACGTCTGCAGACACTGTCCCAGTGCCCCGTGGGGTGGGGCTGGGGGTGGGGGCTGACGCAGCACAGCGGGCGTCTGCTGAGAATCACTGTTCCCCCGAGGAGCTGGAGCCTGATGATGGAGAAGGTGAAGTTGGTCACAGGAGAGGAAAGCGTTCTAGGAGGGAGCAGTGTAAGCAAGTGGGAGGTGGGTGTCAGTCGACCAGTCTGAAGGACTGGAAGGCCTCCCGTAAGGCAGTAGGGCAGTGTGCAAGCTGCCGGGGGCAGCCTGTGGGCAAGAATGCGGTCTGCACGGCTGAGGTGTTTCAGCCAGTACCTGGGGAAGAAGCCTAGGGCTGCTTGGGCTTTTATAGCTCGAGCTGACCTCAGCCCTCCTGACCCGTGTTTTCTCTTTGTAGGGGGTCAGAGAACACCATCTTCTTCACCACCTACGTGAATGGCTCCTGCAGTAAGTGCGTTTTCACCTCAGAAAAAGACGGCCGGTCCACTCGTGGTAGACTGTGTCGGGTTGTACGCGATTCTTCCATTCTCCTAAGATTTTGATAGCTAACGGTGTCTGTTAAAGATGTTTTCATTTTTAAGTATAACCAAATGACTGCATTACCTAAATCAGCTAAGAATATAGGGTGCACATAGAGGCAGTTTCCTTAATTTTTGAGTTGCCTTCGCCTAAAGCAAATTTTATGCTGCAGACACTAACAGATTGAGGTGCAGGGCGGTGTCCGCAGCATTGCGTGGATGGTGCTTGTGTTGGTGGAAGTCCTCGCCTCCCAGGCTGGGGCACAGCGTCAGAGCAGAAAGCGGAACCCGTCATCATGTGCTCACTCAGCAATAGCTGAGCACTGCCTGTATCTCAGGCAGCACGCCATACCCCAGGCCTTCTTCTCAGGGCGCTTCCACTCAAATAGGGCCGTCAAATGAAACAAGGAAAGCAGAGTGCAAACAAGACGGCCTGAAGCAGGATCAGATCTCTCAAACGATACCGTGAAGAGAGGCTGGCCGGCCGGCTGCAGTGACCGTGAGGCACAAGTGCTGCCAGTGACCTGTCAGGGCCCAGTGACCTGTCAGGCTTAAACCTCGAGTGTGCACGATGAAACCCGGGTGTGCATTCCGATGTCTGAAGCCACGTCACGGTTATACTGCCCCTTGACCAATGGGCATGGATGGAAACGTCTCTAGCTATAAAATTAAGAGCATTCCTACGTGTTTTTAACTGGGGGTTCACCAGTCAGTAAAATGTTAATTAAGAATTTGTCTTGTTTAAGAAGCTGACCTCGGGGCAATGGAATTATGGCGAACTTCAGACTTGGGAAAAAGCTTCAAGACCATCGGGGTGAAGATCTACTCGTTTGGCCTTGGCGGACGCTTCCTCTTTGCCTCTGTGATGGCTGAGAAGGTGGGTGCTCCCCACACCGGTTCAGATAATGTCTGTGTACATTCTGTGTGCTGCTTCGTCAGGTTTGACTCAGTGACGCCGTGTGACAGAAAGACAGAAACCACAGGGTTTCCTCGGCCATAGGCTTCCCAGGCACAGACGGCCAGCCCTTTGTCCCATGGCACCGCTGGTGGTTTGAAACCGCTGAACTCTGGCTAGCAGAGGAGAGCCTAACCACTGTGCCACCAGGCACCCTGTGGCCTCTGCGACAGAGGAGGACTCCCCGAGCAGACGGCCAGGTCTTGTCCCGAGGAGTTGCTGGGTGGGGTCACAGCACCAGCCTTTCATTGTCAGCCCAGCACGTCATCGCTGTGCCCCAGGGCTCCATGGGCCTCCTTTTTGCAGGTCCCTCCACGCGTCAGTGCTGACAGCATCTTCTCTCTTTGCAGCGTCAGTTTCACACAACAATTTGTTGGGCAGCGGTTCTCAACCTGTGGGTCGAGACCCCTTTTGGGGGTAAAACGACCCTTTCACAGAGGTTGCCCGATTCATCACAGTAGCAAAATGACAGTGATGAAGTAGCAACGAAAATAATTTTATGGTTGGGGGTCACCACAACCTGAGGAACTGCACTAAAGGGTCGTTGCATCAGGAAGGCTGAGAACCACTGTTGTAGGGAATTCTCTTCATAGACGTTGTTGAGTTCTGTAAAGGGCTGGTCTGTTTGCGCTTGAGCTTCTTTGGCTATGAACAGATGTCTATTTTTAAATCGACTGCCTTAGTAACTAGTGATGACAGAAGTAGAAATGGGTAACATTGATTGAGTACCGACCATGTGCTACGTACGTGATGTCAGGGTCCCTGGCACCCAGCAGTGCACAGTGCACACATTCCTGCCCCTGGAGATGATACGCAGCCAAGCCTGGCAGCGTCAGGAGAGATGGACAGGGTAGGCGTGGCCTGTTCACGGAGGGCGATCTGGGTGGGGCTCTGAGCGCACCGGCTGCGAAGACCCTGCGAGAGGAGGCAGACTGAGGAAGCCAGCAAAGCCCCACAGGCACGGGCATGCTCCGTGCTCCCCGGGCAGGGGCAGCGGAGAAGAGTGGTTGAAAGTGAAGTTGGGGTGGGGGGTGGGGGGGTTACGCCATGGGCCAGATGATACAAGGCCGGTCGGTATGGGTCATGATTATGACCTTGGCTTTTATTCTTCATGGTGGGAAACATTTAAACGGTTGTGAGCTTGGGAAAGGTGTGGTTCGATTTCTCTTTTGGCAAAATAGGTGTCTATGGGGGACTGGCTGGCTGGGTGAGAAAGGAAGCCTTATGATAGTAGCTGGGACCGTAGTATACTTGGGGGGGGTGGGGGGCTTACCTGTGACCTGAGCTCCTAACGGGGTCAGTGGAGAGGTGGTAAGATTATGCACGTGTTATGAAGCCACTAGAATTTGCTGAGAGATGAAATGTCCCTTTTGTTCATTGTCTGCTGCGGTCAGCGATGTTGGGAAGGACCAAGGGCATCGCATTGCCCAGGTCTTGGGCCTGGGCAGCGGGAAGAAGGGTGGTGCCATTTGCTGAAGGACGCAGGTGCCTAGGGGGGAACCCAGAGCTCAGTTTTGGAGAAGAGATGTTTGTCTAAATGGAAATGTCCAGTAAGCACTTGGGAACAGGAATTTCCCAAAACCCTCAGTGCTGTCTCTGGGAGCAATGTGTGGGTGGAGAAGGGGCGTGAGGTGAGCAAGCCTACCGCACACTGGATGTGTCAAGGTCAAGGTTATCCAGAGAAGGAGGCTCCGGCAGCGAGGCCCAGGGAACAAGGGGCCAGCCCCCGAGAGGGAGAGCTGCAGAGAAGGAGGTCACACAAGGCAAACTGAGGCTGGAGGAGGAGGAGGAGGAGGAAGTGTGACAGACGGTGGAGTTAGATGAGTCCCCAGAATGGTCCCTTGGACTTGGCAAAGTGGAGGCTCTTGGCCAAGCAGTTATATTAGAAAAGTGAGGGTTAAAAGCCCAATTGGAGTGTGATCAGAGATCATTGCAAACGGGGAAGTAGGTGCAGTAAGTGCAGGTCCCTCTCGTGTGTTTTGGGAGAACAACTTTATGAGCTAATACTGTTACCTCCGTTTTGTACACAAGGAACCCGACCCTGCCTTGGGTCACCTGGGGGTGAATCCTGGAGGGTGTCACACTGCCTGATGATGAGCCAGCCTTCTGAACCACTCTTCTTGCCACTGCCCACAGAATCAAAGCCCACTCTACTTCGGAGCCTTTTGCACATCAGTGTTGTGTCCCTGGGTGCAGTCAGTTTAGACGCACGACGGCCCTAGGCCTTTAACCGCTTAACTGCCACATAGGTTGTCATCCTGATGGGAACGGGTCCCACAGAGTCACTGGGTGTGTTTGGACGGCTTACAATTTAGTTTGAAGCCAAGCGCTTACGTACCTGTTGTCTCACCCCCACCATAAGCTAAAGGTGCTTGTCTCTGAACTTTACATAGGAAGCCCTGAGATGCCTTCTCGTACTCTGCTGGCTCTGGGGGGTTCGCAGTCAGCACCCCCTCGTTAGTTCCTTGTGATTTCTGAACTCTCGGTGGGCTGGGAGGCTGCCGCAGAGATGGGGCATGTCACATCTTGGCTTCCCCCTGGTGATCTTCAACCATAAGTTCCAGCTCCAGTTTCCAGGCTCATAATTACTTAATTTTTTGAGTTGTGAAAAGAGGACCTCACAGGGCGGAGAAGGCATTCTGGAGGCCTTCCATGTGGAAGGACCTGTGTTTGATTCCCAGCCACGGCACCCCAGCTGCCGCCGCCGCCGCCAGTAGAGGAAACGGGTTGGCAGTTTCCAAAAATGGGCCAACGAGAAAACCTTACGGAGCGCAGCTCTGTGTGACACACGTGGGCTCTCCTTCAGTCAGAATCGGTCCCTCCCAAGAACCCAGTCTTCGTTTGAAGACTTACCTGAGCACGTTTATCAGAATGGCTGTAAAGCGAAGCTAGTGGCGGTCCCGTCACACCCTTAGCTCTCTGTCAAGGACTTGGGTTGTCCGAGCTCGGCAAGAGAGAATCTGCAGGGCCTTCCCAATGAAGGAGTCAAAGGTGGCCTTACTGAGAGTAGAATGGATGGTCCCTTGACTGGGACTTTGCTGGAGGTCAGTAGTTGTTTTGATCATTGGCACTAGAACCTTTTATTTATAACAATTGTTCCCAGTGGAGAAATAAATAATGATGCTTATAGATAGTGATGCTCCTGCAGTGGAATCTTGTTGGAAAAATAACAGAGAAGTGCTACATTTGTTCCAGGATGCAACGAGAAGGATCCACGTGTCAACAGATCGAGGGGACACGTGGAGCATGGCGCAGCTGCCCTCTGTGGGGCAGGAGCAGTTCTATTCCATTCTGGCTGCTAATGATGACATGGTATTCATGCACGTCGATGCACCCGGGGGTAAGAGGTTTGCCGCTAAAACGGGGCCCCACCTTGAATGCTCACAGGTCTGAACTCTGAGCCCCGTGTGGAGTAGCTTTCCTTCTTACAGGTCTGCTTTCCCTCGCGCCCTTGGGGATTTTTTCAGTGTCCTGCTGAATGTCCAGTTTAAGACTAGGTGATATGTAATCTCTGTTTAAAAGGCCACTTTTAAAATGTTTTTAACTGTTTTATTGACATAATTTACGTGTCGTGCACATAGAGCACGATTCTACAGCTTAAACGTTGTTAGAAAGAATTGTGCGATCCTCACCACACTTTGTTCTCGCCTGTACTCCTTGTTACTAGTTCCCCATCCCCCACCAGCCTCCCCTGCCATCGCCTCAAGAAACGGCATCCTTTCTGTATAGATTTACCTATCCTGGATTTCATATAAAGAAAAAGATACAAAAACAAGAAGAGAGAAACAAAATAACAACAACAAAAACCATAAACCCAACAACAGTAACAAAATAAAATGTTGAAAACTCTCAGTCAAACAGATAACAGAAATAATAAAAACTCACACAAATTTAAAGTGGGTCAAAGGGGAGTACAAATGATAGGTTGTTAAACTTTAACCTAACTGCATCTGCCTTGGAAAGTGCCCTTTCCCATGCATGTCTGACAGCAAGCCTGCTCGCATCTCTGGTCCGTGGTCAGTCAGAATTTACCAGAGGCTTATTCCAAGTGGAGATCCTGCAATTGGATTTCAGTGTCGAGCATACCCCTCTGTAAACTGAGTGCTCAGAATTCATTTCTAATACAGTTCCCTCCTCCAGTCCTGGATCTTATCATCTGCAGTCCTTGGATCACACAGGCTGGTGTGCTTCTTCCTTGTGGACTTAGCTGTCACCGCACTCAGATGACTGCTTGTTTTAAGACAAGCTTTTAAAACCCCGGACACTGTTTCTCCATCACAGTTTGCTGTCGGTCACTTGTATTGACAAACTAATGTAGTTTGTGGGTATACTCAAGTCCTGGAGAACAGTTTCTCAGACAACGGCCCGTGAACTAGTACTGACTCTCAAGACTATAAGAAAAATAAGAGATATTGAGTGCAAATGTTTAGATTAGAAACTCTTTATAAGAGCTCTCGAACAAAAAATGTTGTATTTGTCGAATCTTTTTTTCCCCCCAGGGTTCTGAATAAGCTTTATTACAGAAGCCCAGGGGTCACATGTACCCTGAAAAATAGAAAGGCACAAGGAAAAGCTTTATAGCTTGTGTTATATCATTATTTTCTCAGAAGATATATTTGCAAATAATTCATGGATTTTTTTCATTGAACTAATATTGTATAAAGCATATCACTAAGGGTGCCTTTGAACTTCTCTCTTTTGCCTGCTGATTTTTTTTTTTAACATTTTATTAGGGGCTCATCCAACTGTTATCGCAATCCATACACACATCAATTGTGTAAAGCGCATTTGTACATCATTCTCAAAACATTTTCTCTCCACTTAAACCCCCGACATAAGGTCCTCATTTTCCCCTCCCTCCCTGATCCCCCCTCCCTCATGAGCCCTTGATAGTTTATAAATTGGTATTTTGTCATATCTTGCCCTGTCCGACGTCTCCCTTCACCCACTTTTCGGTTGTCTCTGTCCCCCAGGGAGGAGGTCACACACAGTTCCATGTAATCGGTTCCCTCTTTCCTACCCATTCTCCCTTTACCCTCCCTGTTTTGCCACTCACACCACTGGTCCTATAGGGCTCATCCGCCCTGGATTCCCTGGATTTTCCATTCCTATCTGTACCAGTGTACACCCTCTGGTCTAGCCAGACTTGCAAAGTCGAATTCGAGTCATGGGAGTGGGAGCGGGGAGGAAACATTTAGGAACTAGAGGAAAGTTGTATTTCTCATCGTTGTTACATCGCACCCTGACTGGCTCATCTCCTCCCCGAGACCCCTCTGCAAGGGGATCTCCAGTGGCCTAGTATATGTCGAATCTTTTTGTAAGTTGGAAGTTAACCTATTTACATTTTTTCTAGTAATTAATTTTTATCCTATTTACAAAACTGGTTTGTTACCAGTTGGAAGTGTAAAAAATACTGTCCTTCACCACAGATAAGTGTGAGAAGAGCTGATTTATAATGCAGAATTTTATAGATGCGTAAGATATGAATCTATGTAGTGTCTGTTGCCAAAAATGGACCCGGGCAGAGTGCTCCAGTGGCACCTGATCAATGTAGTCCCCAGACTGAAGCTTGGTAATAGTATGAAAGATGTGCTGCCCTGGATGAACCATCAGTCCTGCAGCTACGTCCTGAGGAGGGACGGTGTGCTAATGTGTGTATGGTTGGACTGTTGTTTTTCCTCTCTACCCCCTCCCGAGACTTAGTGTTTCTGTCCGCACGCCTGTTTCAGATACGGGATTTGGCACCATCTTTACCTCGGATGACCGCGGCATTGTGTACTCCAAGTCCTTGGACCGACACCTCTACACAACCACAGGTGGAGAGACGGACTTCACGAATGTGACCTCCCTCAGAGGGGTCTACATAACCAGTGTGCTTTCCGAAGGTGAGTCTGGCCTGCGCCCTCCTGCCCTTGCCCCTTGGCTGCACTCGCTGGAGTCGCTGCTTTTGCGGAGATGGAGGGTCCTGCCCGCCGCCCCGCCCCCCAGTGGTGTCCCCTGACTAGCCAACCAGCCCGCAGCGTGCAAGTTCTGGCTCTTTGTTTAAATGAGCTGTGGTGGTTACAACTCGGAGAACGTGAATCACAGACAACGGTGGAAAGGCTCTTCTTTCCCCGGGGCGTCAGTGGTGTTTCTGCGCTGGAAGACTTGGCTGTGCAGGAGTAAGCCAAGCCTGGGTTTGAGCACTGCCTGACTTCTTCCCATGCAGCGGGAGGGCAGGAATAGCTAGCCAAGGTTCTTCCTGAGTTCCTGTTGGTAGTTCTTCAAGACTCACCTTTACCTAGGCCCAATTATACAAATAACACACATTACCCTAAAGTGCCCAAACGCTTACCGTTTGTTTCATTTTAGGTATGGATTTAATTTTTGGTCAGAGAAGGAGGCTGTCTGTAAAGACCTTGCAGGGGTCTACAAGATCCTAAGCAATAAGGCCCGCACTTCCTCCCTGCCCATGTCTCCATCTTCTCCCCTTCGCTTACTCTCCCGTTCACACCAGCCTCCTGCCCTGCTCTAAACATGCCACTCTCCAGGGGTGGAGATCTGCTCTGGTTTCCCCAGAGACGTGGGAAAGGTAGCTGAGGCTCCGTTTCTCCGTGAGACCCATCCTGATGGCCTGCTGTAAAATTCCAGTCTGCCATCTCACACACACTCACAGACTCCTAATTTCCCTTCTGTTGTGCAAGTTTTGTCCCTTAGTATTTAGTCTCTAACCTTCCTTATGATTTACCTTGGCTAGTGTTTGTCTCACCTTACTGGATTATGTATTTGACAAAGATTTGTGTCTGTTTTCACTGATACATTTCTAAGGCTCGGCCGAGTTTCTTACATAGCAGGCATTCAATAAGTATTTATCAAATAAGTGAATTTTCCTGTTTTCTTCATTTCTTTTTCCTTGGAAAATCCAAGGCAGTGGTCTTAAAATGTAACTTGCAACAGTTTGTGTCATTAGAGATCGAGAATGGGGAAGAGACGTGAGATGGGGAGAGCTAGGAGATAAAGGATAGGAGTTCATGAAAGTGGTTAGGAAATATTAATACAGATTTATGTTCACAACATCGAACTGTTGAGAGTCCCTAAAGTAGAAGTCATAGCTGGTCTGAATAAAGAAGCGGGTGCCTTCCCCTTAGAGATTTGACCCAGAAGGTAGGTAGGCAAGGAAAATGGCCCTCAGCCTCGGGGTGTTGGTAAGGAGATACAGAGTATCTCTTTTCAGGAGTATCGTTCTGGATGAATTCTCAATCACCTGGGTCCTGCCCTGTCCGAGTTGGGAGCCACCTGAGGTGTCATATTTAGAGTTGAAAGTCTCCTGGGCGCCGTTTTCCTCTCCCGGCTGCTTTACCCTGGATGCCGCGCCTGGGAGGACTGTGATTGCATGTGTCCTTACAGCTCCGTGACAACGCGGGGCCTGACGAAGACACGCTGCCACTAACAGACACAAGGGAAGAAGACCTGGTGGTGATCACTAGAGCATTCAACAGCCCCCAAACTCGTGTGTGTGTCTGTGTAGCAAAAAATATTGCTGCAAAATCAGAAACCATTTTAAAACAGAAATATCAAAATGGGACGCTACTGATTCCCAACACCCCTCTTGAATTCCCAAAAAGAGTCACCATAACCCTCTGAGCTGACCTCTCTGCCTGGGATTTCAGTGACCCAGCAGATCCCCTTGGAAATACTGTTTTGATTGGACCTTGATCTCTGGACCGTACTGGGACATTGGCTTTAGTCTTGCTTAAAAGATCAGCTTGTTGAAGTTCCTAATCCTCACATGACACTTTTGGCACCCACCATCAAACTGGAAGCTTGGCGAGGCCAATTTGCCCCTGTAACCTTGGCAACAAACCGAATGTGATCTCGGCTGCAGTAGCTGTTGCAGCCATGGTGAGCCTGCCGTCTCTGAGCACGGCTTCTTCGATTGGGGCAAGATCAACAGCCTGTCCTCTCGGTTTATTTTTGAGGTCTTCTTGACCGTCTGCAAAAGGACTGGTTTATGTGGGGCAGCATTCCCGTGAACTTAGTGGAAAACTTTAATAACTTGATAGTCCACTTAAAACTTGATATTAGCGCTGATCTCAGTGCTGTATTGTCTTGTTACCCTGATGAGACCTAAGTCCTGTGTTGCTGAGAGGCCTTTCAACAGCCATGCACTCGCTGCAAAGTCACGTTTACACACGTTGTGTTTGCAGTAAGCAGGTGTGCATATGTAAATGGGAACCCTAGAAGCAGTACTTTCTCGTTACCCTTGTACGTAAGTGTATTCAGGCATATATACAAGGGTACCCAAAACCAGATGTGATGAGAAGGGGACAGTGCATTTGGAGTTCATTCCACCAGGTCAGACTGTTAATCAAGCTCTCTATTCAGAGGTTCTGAAAAGATTGCATAACATTGTGCGACCAAAAAGGCCTGATATGTGGCAGACGGGGGACTGGTTTTGCCACCATGACAGTGTGCCTGCTCATGCAGCCATCTTGGTGCCCCAGTTTTTGGCAACAAAACCCCAACAAAACAGCATGCCTCTCTTGCCCCACGCACCTTACTCAACGACCTCGCTCCCTGCAACTTCTGTTTGTTTCCGTGAGTGCAGAGGGACATGAAGGGACAGCGATTTGATGATGTGGAAATACACGAGGGAGGAGCTGTCCTTCATCCAAGCAGATGAGTTTGAAAAATGTTTCCAAGAATGGAATCGCGCATTTGACAAATGTTCTAAGACTAACGGAGAGTGATAAGATTGCTTTGTGTAAAAAAAAAATTAAACACATAGCTTTGAAGAAAAAAATCCGGTTTGGGGGGATCCCCCCTCGTCTGTATATGCATCTAAGTGGCTGTTTGTGCATGTATTCATATCTGTCCTAAAGCACACAGGATTCGCAGCCGCAGGTGTTTTGTAGTATAATCAAACACCACATGGGATGGGTGTCCTGGGTTAAAGGATGAGGCTCTAGTCTCACGGGGATCGCAGGTCACTGGCATAATACAGTTCCTAGAGTCACGCTCTGTGTACGTCCCCTTCGGGGAGTGGAGTCGGGGTCTTAGTGGAGTGCAAGCCGCCATCTGAGGCAGGAGGAAGGAGGGAGCTAGACTATGGGACAGGTGTCTGCCTACGCCTGTGCCTCAGCTGTCTGGAGACCGCAGCAGCTGCATGGGGCCGGCTCTCACGACTGCCTGCTCTCCTCAGAGCTGCCATCGTTAGATTCTGATCAACTGTGGGGAACCCCTCTTCTCCCTAACACACAGGCACAGAGAGGCTTGCTGGAGTGTTACTGGGCCAGTGGAACCCGGAGGACTCCCTTAGACTATTGCCTTGAGATTTTCTTTAAACTTTAAACCCAAACCAGCCCCTGAGGTCATCTAACTAACAAATTAACTCTCAGAGACTCCCCAGTGAGTACTGTGCCCTTCTAAAAACTCAGCTGCAAAGATTGCAGGGCATCGCAGGGGAGCTAGATGGATGGAAATGGGACAGCCAGAGCGGAAATAAAGTGTGTTCACACGTTGCGAAGAAGGTAACCAGTGCCTGGTAATTTGTGTAGCCATTGTCCAATGGGAGCCAACACTGCTGTGTACACCTTCACCCAAAAGACAGTAGCTTTGTTGTACTGCTCATTTCTACACCATCCTGAGCTGGTTTGTTGGGGTTCTAAGCTTGTGAGGCCCTAGAGTCAGCGCGCTGGTATGCAGCCTCGGGAGAATGATACCCTGGTTTATCGGCTGCCTGCAGTGCATCTGCTCAGTCTCGTTGTTCCCATCCAGATAATTCCATCCAGACCATGATCACGTTTGACCAAGGTGGCAGGTGGAAGCACCTGAGGAAGCCGGAGCACAGCGAATGTGACGCCACCGCAAAGAACAAGAAAGAGGTTGGTTTCCCTGCGACGGTCGGGCTTCGTGCTCGGAGCCAGCAGCGTCCTGGTCTGCTCGCCCGGCCTGGAGAGAGGCGTCCGTGCTGGATGGGGCGCTGTCGCTCACATGGGGAGCAGAGAGGTGACGTAGGATTTGGAGAATCAGAACTGTGGGGAAAGGTTTATTGGTTTTTGAAAGAAACACAAATCTTGAGGGGTAGCCCTCTGTGTTCTTGGCTGAAGGCAGGATGGAGGGACGGGCCGATTAGTTCGGGGTCAGCTTGGCAGCTGTGAGACCTCAGAGCGCCTGCCCACTAGAAGCCATATCCCAGCCACCCACAAGCACCACCTCTGTCGGCAAGGCCTTGCTGGGCAGAAGCTGGTAGAAGAGGAGTTGACCTTCCTTGCCCTTTGCCCTGGAGCCCGCAGAGCTTCCAGGGATAGCCCTGTGGGTTTCCGAGACTGTAACTGTCTGGGGAGTAGAAAGCCCAGTCTTGTCCCATAGAGCTGCTGGTGGTTTCAAACTGCCGACCATGGAGACCACAGCCCCACTTGTAGCCACTATACCCCGGGCTCCGTTCCGGGGCTCCCAGGTGTGGTTTAGTACATGTGAAAGCAGTGTGCAAGCAGACACAGACGCTTCTGAGGAGGGATTCCAGGAATGACAGACAGGTCTTGACAGGTGAGAAAAAGATAAACAAAATAAACTTTACAGAATTTCAGCGGAGCATTGGGGATTTCATCAGGAATTGTCCGTTTTCTTTTTTTAAAGTGGTAGTTCCCAAGCTCGCCTCAGATTCCTGTTACTTACGTCAGCACTCTGCTCTCTGTTTTGCGTGAGAGAAAGTGTGTCTCCCCTTCGCCAGACTCAGAGGTGCTGCGAGGCCCCTCTCTGCCTCCTCTCGCTCTTTCTTGCTCCGTCCTCAGCGGGCCGGCCCTGGGCATGCTGGTGGGGAAAGCCCGTGGCTCTGGCTGGGGATGAAGGGTCTCACCCGTCAGTCTCTCTTCTGCCATTTTTGGGTTTTGGGCTTTTTTGGCCATCCTTGCCCACTTTATCAGACACCCCCTTGCTGCACGCCCACCACTGCGGCTGCCCCAGCCCCTCCCACCCCCGAGTGTGCACCAGCGGAGCCATTGTCAGGTGGACCCCATCACCCCGCCTTATTTCTGTAATCGTCTGCTTGCACTTCTCTGGAAGCACTTCAGGTCCTAGCGCTCTTTCTGCATCGTGCACAGGAAAGACCGCCCGGGTCGAGTTCCAGGTCCCTGCAGTGTCTTCTGTCGTGGCTGCAGCAGGGCAAGTGTTCACCATGTGTAGCTGGGTGGAATCACACTGGGTAGAGGCCTTGGGGTCGTGCAGGAAGGAAATGAAGGCGGATTACACAGGAGAAAGTTACTGTATCATCAGATTCATAACGACCAGATTAGTGCAGCCGTGCCCTCTGGCATCAGGCGTGTCCCCGAGGGCTGGGTTGCCTGGAAGCTTGTCGAGAGGCTCTGAGTCGAATGAAGCAGCACCTTTGTCCCCACAGTGCAGCCTCCATATCCACGCGTCCTACAGCATCTCCCAGAAGCTGAACGTCCCCATGGCTCCCCTCTCGGAGCCGAACGCCGTAGGCATCGTCATCGCTCACGGTAAGACCCCGGGCACTCCTCGCCACCACGGACAGCAGTAGCCAGGCACACTGCTGACAGGCCTGGTGCCTTGGGTTCCTCTTAGACCCCCCCCCAGGGGAGAAAGCAGCTCGGCCTCCTCCTCTCGGGGCCTTCGTGGTTCATTGCTGTTGAGTCAGCTCTGGTGCACTGGCCCACGGGCCACAACCCAAAGTGCCACCCCACGTGTGCGGCTCCAGGGCAGGCCTGTGGTGTGGCCTCCACATTGGGAGAGCAGGCGCGTCTCCCGATCACATCAGACAGCAGTAACGTTCTCTTGTGAGCCAGAGGGCTTTCACTGGCGAGTTTTCTGAAGCAGGCTGCCAGGCCTTGCTTCCTACTCTGCCTTGCTGCAGAAATACCCCGAAACCTGACCATGGTGAGCGGCCCTGCGTGTATTGGAAACCCTGGAGAGGGAGCTTCCAGCATCGCAAACTGACCGGGGTGACCCTTCCAGAAGAGGCCACAAGGGAAATAGAATGAGCCCCCTCCAAACCTTCCCTGGGCAGCCAGCCTGCACTGACCAGGACATGGCTGTGTTGCAGGGAGCGTGGGAGATGCCATCTCGGTCATGGTCCCAGATGTGTACATCTCCGATGACGGGGGCTACTCCTGGGCAAAGATGCTGGAAGGACCCCACTACTACACCATCCTGGACTCCGGGGGCATCATCGCGGCCATCGAGCACAGCAGCCATCCTATCAATGTGATTAAGTATGCATGAGCTCGTCTCCACCCACTCTGCCGAGGGGAGGGGGGAAGGGAGGGGGGTCCGGGTCCTGGAGCTCCAGCTCAGGTGTCCGCCTTCTGTAGGGCAGGAGGGCGGGTTCCTGAGGAGCCAAGCTCACTGGGCCTGAAGCAGCTACCTTGTAAAGCGCTAACTTCCCTTTACCACTGTAAACATTCATTCTCAGCAGAGCCCCTACCCACTCTGTCCTCCAGAAAGGTTTTTTCAAAGCTGCTTCCGTCCACACAAACTCAGAACGACTCCTGCTTTCCTTCCTTGTTAACTGCGAGCATTAGACTTTAACAGAAGTGTCCGGCAGGGAGCCACACCCTCTGTAGCAGGGACTGTCTCGGGTTGGGGTCACACCGTGGGGTGGCTTCCTGATGACCCACTAAGCCTCGGCCCTGGGTCTTGACCTTCCTCCCTGGTGGTTTCAGGTTCTCCACAGACGAGGGCCAGTGCTGGCAAACCCACACGTTCACCACGAAGCCCATTTACTTCACTGGGCTGGCCTCGGAGCCGGGGGCCCGCTCCATGAACATCAGCATCTGGGGCTTCACAGAGTCTTTCCTCACCCGCCAGTGGGTCTCCTACACCATCGACTTCAAAGACATCCTCAAGAGGAACTGTGAGTGTCTCGTGGGGCCTTTGCTGCCCGACATTTGCACTGTCTGTTGGCTAGAACAAGCTGAACCGCGGGAAAGCAGGCGTGCATTCAGGCAGAGGGTGGAGCTGTGGATGGCCGCGAGAAGCATCTCTGTGGGCTAGCACTGGCCGGCAGAAGCGCAGTGAAGGTCACGTTCAACTTCTCTGCTAGCTACATGGAAAAAGCAACCAGGTGCAATACATTTTAGTGGCATAATCCACTCAGTAAAACAGTCCAAAGTAGGAGCTCAACATGCAAGCGGTATTTTAAAAATCACTGATGATGTACTTTACATTCTTTTTTCCAACTCAGTCTTCCAAAATCCAGCGCACATTTTACACTTTGATTTTACAGAAAGCCTGAATGTTGCGACTAGCCACATGTGGGTCAAGGCCACCATGTGCGACTGTGTACCTGGGCACTGGCAGAGAGACCCGTATCGTGTGTGCAGCTCTTCCCCCTCTGCTTTTAAGAATAATGACCTGCTTGTATTTATGTAAAGTAATTTCAGGACACCTCCGGGTTTTGAGGACATTTCCACAGCAGGTCTTTTGGCTTGACTGCCCATCGCGGGCCAGGCTCTGGAGGCCCTCACTGGCCGTCCAAGCTCTGCAGCTTCAACTGGACAGCCCCGGAACTGTGCCCGCGGGAACTGCAAAAATGTCCTGGAAGGACACCAGAGATGCTGAAAAGTGGGGAGGCTGAAGAAGGGGGAAAAGGAAGCAGTGGCCACTGTGGCCTGTTCCCATGTGTTGGCAGAACAGGGTAGAAGGCGATGTGTGCTTCGAAACACTGTGGTTTCATTCTGGTCCTGGCTGCCAGACTGCCGGGTGCCTCCTTTTCCTCCACCTGCTAAGTCACCGGCTCCTGGGGAGGCAAAGCTCTTGGGTAGAACCTCGCCCGTCCAATAGCGTGCTTACGTAGGACCTAATTGCCCAAGGGCCTTGGTGGCCCAAATGCACTAAAGAATCTGTAAGGGGCTGGCTTCAAAAGACAATTCTGCACTTATCCCTAAAGTCTTAACTCGTTGCCAATAAAACAGCATCCGTACCTGCTGTAAAGGAGGCTCTATAAGCTGTTGACTGAAAGGTCACTGGTTAGAACCACCAGGAGAACGGAGGCGACGTGCTTCTGCCGAGACTGACCGCCTTGGAAACCCCGTGGGGCAGTTCTCGCTGCCCTGCAGGGTCACCCTGAGTCAAGGGCAACTCCCCAGCAGTGAGCTGGTTTCGAATGCTGGTCTTTGCGTGCCCAGCGGGTAAAACAAGGACATGGGCTGTAGGCCCGAGCCTGGGTGTCATTTCTCCAGGAGTAGATGGTCAGCCTCTGGGCACAGTGTCATCAGCCAGCCTGCTAACTAGGCTAGAAGTCTAGCGAGAGAGTGCTTGCCTTCCCTTGTTGGAAGCAGCCCATAGTGAGATGGAGCCCACGCCCTGGGCCCATGTGTGTCTTATCCTGGTCAGGTCACAGCGCGAGACAGCAGCCTCGGGTGGGAGGAACGCTGAAAGCCCTCTGTCCAGCTTCCCACCAGGAAACGAACAAAGCTTCCCCGGTGCTCACGTGGCTGGTGAGATGGAAGGAATCCTCCCTTGGCAGGAAGAAGCAAATGCCAGCCGCTAGCAGACTGCTGGCGAATGCAGCTCTGTGTTTGCAACTCCAAGAGGAAGCAGCAGGCGGAGCTGAGAGCCCCGCTCGGCCTCCCCCGGCTCTGCTGCAGGTGGGTGGATCTGTGCGGGGTTGTGTCCTGAGCAGCTGTCTGTCGTCCTGTAGGCGAAGAGAAGGACTACACCGTATGGCTGGCTCACTCCACAGACCCCGGGGATTATGAGGACGGCTGCATCTTAGGTTATAAAGAGCAGTACCTCCGGCTACGCAAGTCGTCCGTCTGTCAGAACGGCCGAGACTACGTGGTGACCAAGCAGCCATCCATCTGCCTCTGTGCCCTGGAGGACTTCCTCTGGTACCAGCCTTCCTCAGCCCGGGCTGGGGTCTCCCGGGCCGAGAAGCGGGTGGTGGGAGCTGCTGCAGCTTTCCCTCTCACAGGCAAGGAAGCGGGGGCACAGAGAGGGAACCCACGCTCTGCAGAGCTGGGCAGAGTAGAGTGCTGGACAGGTCATCAGTGATGGGGCAGAGTCGGCAACAAATCCCAGAGTTCCCGACCGAGCATGGCGGGAAGTAGAGGAAGCACATGTGGAGAAAGAGCAGCAGACAGCAACGACGACGATGGCGGAAGCTGTGGGAAATGGCCAGACGACAGCAACAAGACTAGACTGCGCAGGAGCCGGGGGTCAGCAGGCTGGGGGCCCTGCAGCGCCAGACAGGGCGCGTGCTTGTGTCGTAAGGAAGCAGGTCAGAGCAGCTGTGGCCCTCATGCCGTCTGCCAGGTGGACTCCTGGAGTCAGGACTGTCCAGGCTTAGGGTCAGGTCACTTGGCCAGCATAGCGGTCTGTGTGGGTAGGGACCCAGCCTTTGTGCCAGGTGCCACAAAGCAGGTCGTCAAGGTGAGTGGGGCCAGAGGGGGCCCCCTGGCGTGCGGATGATGAAGCGAGGCGAGGTGGTCAAGATGCTAACACCAAGGAAAGGAGAAGGGGGTGAAGTTGGATGGATTGAGCAGGAGCAAGGTGGACATCATCATCGCTCAGGGAAGGAGCTGGCACCAGTGAAATGGGAGGGAGGGGCCGATGGTCCCTCCCACACACTGATGCAGCCAGGATGGGATGGAGATGCTGGTTGGGGGCTCAGCCTAGCAGAGGACACAGGACATGGCTCCTTTGGGGAAGACGCCGTGGAGATGAGATGGGGTGGAGGTCTGAAGGGCCCTGCGGTAGGAAGGATAAAAGGCAAGGACCATCTACGGAGCTGAGGGCAACGGAGATGGGAGAGAAGGATAGCAGAGACCCCAAGGGTCTGAGTTATTTGCAGCTAAAGCATTGAACTGCTAAGTCTCTGCTTCTCTGTGACTCTCTCTCTGTCTCAGGTGTCTGGGTCCCCACCCTCTGCATCCCCTCCCTGGACCTGAGCAGCTTGGTTTGCAGGGTTCCCAGCCTTGGGGCTTCTTTCCAGGGAGCCCTGAGCTCTCTCTCCCCGCACCCCAGCCGACACTTTGCTGTGTTCCTTTACATTCCCAGTAGTTTATCTCTCTGCCTGTTTCCTAAGCGGGTCTTCCTGAGCCATCTTGTAGCCGCCCAGCATCCCTGCCCCCACTGTCTTTTGGCGCCTGAAACAAACCGTCCTTATTTGCTGTCTCTCGCAGTGACTTCGGCTACTTCCGACCCGAGAATGACTCCAAGTGTGTGGAGCAGCCAGAGCTGCAGGGCCACGACCTGGAGTTCTGTCTGGACGGGAGAGAGGAGCAGCTGACGACCAGTGGGTACGCAGCGTCCGGGCTTGGCTCGCACGGACCTGCCACACGGAGCTGCGAGCACGCAGAGGCAGTCCGTGCCCCAGAGCCTGGGTTTCAGCGTGTACTCCTTGTCACAGAACACCTTTCCCACCGCCCCTGCTGTGTGCGCCCCAGAGCCTGGGTTTCAGCGTGTACTCCTTGTCACAGAGCACCTTTCCCACCGCCCCTGCTGTGTGTGCCCCCAGGGCCGTGGCTCTCTGCCACAATCTGACAGAAAGGACCGGCTTGTCCCTCCGTGTCCGTCGTGATGAGGCCAGACCCGGCTAGTGGGCTGAGCCTGACGCTGATGGACATGACACCCCCACCCCCGGGCCTGGAAGGAAGGCGGGCTAAGGGCCAGTTTTTCAGATCTTGTTTCCAGACCGTGGGGACCAGCCTGGGGGCGCATCCCTGCAGTCTGTTAACACGCTTTCGTGGCCTTTCAGGTACCGGAGAATTCCAGGAGACAAATGCCAAGGTGGGGTGAATCCGGTTCGAGAAATAAAAGACTTGAAAAAGAAATGCAGGAGCAACTTTCTGAGTCCAGAAAAGCAGGTGCGTGCAAGTAGACCCGGCTTAGCTGCCTGTGGGGCTTCCTGTCCTGCCGGGAAAGAGCACAGATAAGGCATCAAGACTTTTTCAGGGACAAAGTGAGCACACCCCCTCTGCCGGCTGCCCTGTGGAGAGGAAGTTACTAGGATCAACTCCGGTGTCTCGGATGCACGGGACTGAGGCCGGAAGTCGCTAGGGGGAAAGGCCCCAGGGGTCCGATCCAGAACTGGCCAGTGGCACGCATGGCCTAGGCCAGCAGTGGCCTGTAGGTGAGCTGGCCTTGCTACTGAGTCCCGTGCAGTATGTGTTCAAAGTGGAACTCTGCACTCGGGTAACAGTGGGCTGGTTTTCATGGAGCAGCAAGCTGTGCGGATGGCAGCTCACCTGAACTGTCTGGCTGGGCCTTAGGGGATGGTAAAGAGGGACCCTCAGGTACAGGAGCGCCGGGCTGCCAGTGTGATGGGAGGCAGCAGACTCCAGATTCCTAACCTCGTAAAACTCCAGGTTGAGGGAGGCCATCTCCGGTCCTCTGCCCTCTCTTTTCTAGGGGGTGGGATTAGGAAAGAGGATGGGAGGAGAGCGTGTGGGTGTGTATGTAAGGGGGCATGCTCCTCCTCCTCTGCACCCCTGCCCTGGACACCCGGGGGCTGCTTCCTTAGGGCGTTTGCGTGTGTAATTGCACAGGACTCCCGCCCACAGGGACAAAGCCTGTCCCAGAACCCAGCTCCGCCTTCTCTTGGATCCATTGAAAACACACACTCCCTATCTCCCACCCCGAAACAGGTAGGTCCCAGACTGTGTTATATAGCGTTTATTTATAAGCGACACAAAACACACACACACACACACACACACACACACACACACACACACACACACACCACACCACCCCCAGAAATCAAGTTGCAAGCACTCCCACAACAAATTGTCCTTGCTGGTGTGCACCAGTGGTGGTGTAGCCTCTTGTCACATCATGAGCCCGAGCAGATGCCACCCACCACTCTGTCACAGCCCATTTGCACCCCACCCTTTAACTCAAAGACCGTCCGCAGCAGCAGTAGCAGCAGCATGGAGCTGTGTGTGACAGTGACGTTTGAAGCCACCGTGTGTGTGTGTGTGTGTGTGTGTGTGTGTGTGTGTGTGAGAGAGAGAGAGAGAGAGAGAGAGAGTCTGATGGCTTCAGGGCGGTCGGAGCTCTGGTCTCCCTCTGCCGGCTGTGAGAGTCTGCTGGAAGCCTCGGGGTAGTAGGTCCTCTTGGGGGGCCGGAGGCGTGTCATCAGTCAGGGCTGAGAAACGGGGGCGAGGGGATGAGCCGTCTCTTCAATTCAGCCCTACAGTCGGTGCGCCTGATAAATGCTGTGTGTGTGTTTTGCTTCGTCAAGAACTCCACCTCCAGTTCCGTGCCGGTCATCCTGGCCGTCGTGGGGCTGATGCTGGTCGCTGCCGCGGCAGGCGTGCTCCTTGTGAAGAAGTACGTCTGTGGGGGAAGGTAAGCAGCACGGACGCTGGTGGGGAGGACTGGCCACGCGGCCGACAGTTCTGCCCTTGGCAAAAGCTAGCCAGTTGAAGGGAGGCTCCTGGAAAATCAGACCCAGGGTTTGCCCGGTGCACCGGCGGCGGCGGGGGCTCTGGGAGTGCTGGCGGGGGTGGGGGGGTAGGGGTGACTAGCTGCCCTCCCCAGGTTCCTGGTGCATCGCTACTCAGTGCTGCAGCAGCACGCAGAGGCCAATGGGGTGGACAACGTGGATGCTTTGGACACGGAACCCCACACCCATAAAAGCGGTTACCATGACGACTCAGACGAGGTGAGCCGGTTTCTCGGGGGTGGGGGTGGGGGTGTCCAAAAGTACAGACAGGAGTGATTCATTCAAGGTCAGGCGGGGGTGAGCGAGAAGCTGCAGCTTCCTGGCTGCCAGCAAGACGCGGGGAGTTTTGCCCCTAGACGGGGTGGTTTTGCCTTCAGAGGGGGGCCCTCCGCCCCGTTGTTGCCCCTACCAAGCCCGTCTCTCTCTTTAGGACCTCCTGGAATAGCTCTTCACAGAGCTGGGACCACGCGCAGAAGGGACCCCCGTTCCGCTCCCCGTGGCTCCGGTGTGGGGAATAAACTTCCTGTGGCGAGGGCCCCAGCTCTGTCTGCTGCTTCCATCCAAGCCAGACGCACCTACGCTGGAGACGCGGGGCAGGGCAGCCCTGAGACGAAGGGGAAGTCTTTGAATTGTTAACTTCTACGTTCTGTCCTCCTTTATCTCCCCACAAGATGTGGTCTGTGTTTGCTGGGACTTTGCCTTTTTTTCTTTTAAGGGAAATGAAATGGAATTTAAAGGGAATGTTCCCGCCGCACTCTGGTGTTCTCTGTGGTGGCTGCCCCACAGCTTGCTCGGTGCTGCCCTTGGGCCCTGCTGGCCACTCTCAGAGAGCCGCTGTGGACACGGCAATGGCCTGCAGGGACCCGCCTGGCCTGGGCCGCTTTCCCGTCTGAGACGGCCGCTCCGCGAGCAAAGCACACCAGCTCCTCACACCGCCCGGCCCCGGCGACCAGAGACACACGGCAGTTTTTCTCTTCCCTCCGGAATTAGGCAATACCCTTGTTAATTGCCCTTTGGCAACTAACCGGACCTTGTGCTTCCAAGATACTAAATCAGGAAAACTTTAAAGGCAATATGTTTAACTTGGGGCAGGGCAAGGGGGCGGCAGAGAATGGACTAGATTTAGCACCTATTAAAGGAGAAATGCTTTAATTTATTCCGAGCTCCCTGGAGCCTTGCCCTTTGTGTGTATATGCCAGTGAACTTGCTCAAGGACAGGCTTCAGGCTTGCCCTGGGTGGCTGCCCTGGCTGCCTGCTCTCCTCTGGGACGGGCCGCACTCTTGCCAGGCAGCCCTGGCCCTGAGCAGCAGTCTGCCTGCTTGGCAGCCCCCTGCGGGATCTTGAAAGTGGCTGCCATCAGCTGCCTTCAAGTTGCCTTCCCACCTGGACCCACGACGCAGGGTGTTGCCCATGTGCAGCAAGCAAGTGAAGCCACTTTGATAGCCAGGCTCGCCTCCTCACGCCACCTCCGGCTTGGCCAAGTAATGTGTTGGCATGAAGCTTTGGGCTGGACCAATGGAGAACTCACTCCCAGCCTGGCCGATGCTCTGGGTTAAGGTCACTGTGTAAATCGAAGCAAGTTTCCCATTGGGCGTTTGCCCACACTCGCTCAGTTCGAGGACGCAGCGGGAGTGCACGTGCCGTCCTGGAAGGCTGCAGCAATGGCTTTGTGTGCGGCTTGGCTATGGCAGCACAGATGCTGGGCACAGTTCCTCCCAGGAATTGTGACTGGAACATTTCTCCCTGTAGCCAGCATTTTGCTGGTAGTTCCCATGGTGGCAAGAATGTGCCAAATCAGCCCTCATCAGAAGGCCTGAGCAGGAGGGCGACAGCAGCCAGCCACGGGGGAGGGAGTGGATGGAGAGTTTTCAGCTAGAAACTAAAATTATGACCTTTTTTGGTGAAGAGAATTCATATCTGTTAAGGCCAGCGGGTACTAGACTGTCAGGAAAGATAAATTAGCCTTGAGTGGTTTTAAATTTTCAAATAATTCCAAAGATAAAACCCAACTCCTGGACAGTAGAAGCACCAGTCCCACCCCGCACCCCCCAAAGTGCTTGCACTGCCCAGAAAAGCCTCTTCTGTTACTCTGTGCACCTGTATTCCTGCTGATACTCACTGCCCCGGTGATAGCGTGATTATGTGTTGGGCTGCTAACCTCAAGGTCAGCAGTTCAAAACCACCAGCCACTGGGAGGGTGAGAGGTGAGGCTTTCTACTCCTGTAAACCGCTGCGGTCCTGGAAACCCACAAGGGTGGTGCTTCCTTGACCTCCGGGTCGCCGTGAGTCAGTAGAAATAAGTTTGGTTTGGTTTTCCCACGGCAGTGAGCCCGGTGGCCCAGTGCTCAGAGTGCTTGGCTGCAAACTGAAAGGTGGGCTGGGCCATTGAACTCGACAGCCCTTCCTCAGGGGGAGGGAGGGTGCTGCAGTCTGCTCTGTGGAGACCCCCAGCCCTGGAGACCCTGCTCTAGAGGGCCACCAAATGGGATGTCAACTGACGGTGACACGCTGTGGGGAGAGGTTCTTCTCTGGCCACATAGGACAGGGCCCTCCATCCCGAGGGAGCCCTGCAGGCCTTCTTCCCGGAGCATTTGACTTGCACGATGCCATCTGGTCCCCAGGGCAGGGAGGCGGGCCTGTGTGCGTTGTGAGCAGGTGCCAGTCGGTCTCAGACACTGAAACCTGCTCCTCCTCTTAGAGCTGACGTTGTCGTTTGGTTCGGGGACTGGTTGGGGCATTTTCTTCCAGAAGTTGGGAAACACAAAATACCCACTTTTCGTGCCTGCAAACAGACACCAGCCAGCAGTGGTTTTGACTCGGGCTCTTAGAAACCACCCTGCCAGCGGCGACTTTGGGCTGTGGGTGGTTCGGGAGCACCCTGGCTGCCGGGCACTTGTGGTTTGCGTGCTGTGAGCAAGACCAGCACACTTCCCGGGTGGCTAGCTGTCAGTTTCTGCGCCAGCCCGCTGGCCCTCCGCTGGGGGTAAATCAGCTGAAATCAGGGTAGCTTCCGAGCAAGGAGAGCGTCCTAACCTGGCCTTTTGGAGCATTTGCCTTGAGGGTGGAGCCTGGCCTGTCACTGTGGGGGCGGAAGGGGCATCGTCTGGAGGTTTTGGCAATGGCACTTGGCGCTGTGGAGACAGAGCTGACTCTTCGATCTAGATGAGACGCCCCTGTCTGTCCGTCCTTCCTGTCTGTGAATGTGCGCCCTGGGCCCCAGGAGCTCTTAGAGTCTGTCCAGATTGGGTCCCTGGCCAGAGGCAAGGGCTGGGACATCCAGGTTGTTCGTTGGCAGGTGACGCTGTTGAGAAGTTGAGAACCGCCCCGACGGTTGTGGGAGCTCTGACATGGAGGTTTTCTGTCTGTCTCTAAACCAGCTGCCCGGGGCCATTTCTCCGACTCTAAGGCCACCTGTGAGCCAGTGCTGGCCCCAGGGCCGGTTCCGGGGCCTGCCTCGCAGTGACAGGGCGCAGGGCTGGCTCGGGACAGTCCGTCCTCCCCTGCTCCGCCCTAGGTGTCCGGACTGGCCTGGCTTCAGGCATTTGTTTTCCAGACAAACCGTCCAGGTGAAGAGAGACACACACCCCTCTTTTGCAGGAGGGCGCAGGCCCTATCAGCAGTGGCCAGAGCCCTGAAGTTTGAAACTGCTCAGACTGGAGGGGACTCGGCCTCTCAACTCTCTGGCCCCACCTTCCGAAGCAGCCTCTGAACAAAACCGAAGTTTAAGGTCTGTCGTGTGACACCAGAGTCAACAAGTGCCAGACTCTCAGTTCCCTCTGCCCTGTTTGTCTAGCTGGGGGCCGGGCTGGGGATGCCCGGAGGCCCACCCTCCTGGAGGAGAATGGAAATAGCAGGATGCACGTTGATTTCTCAGTTGCCTTTGGAACTGCGGCATTTGATTTGAACTTCTCTCTAACAGTTCGCTGTCTGCACCCCCCACACACACCAGTACATTTCTTAAGCCTCCTCACTGATATAAAGTCATATGAACTAACGTGTTCCTTTGTGTATGCATGTGTGCGCATACGTACATGTGTGAACTGTCGTGTGCAAGTCGGTGCACCTGCCATCCTCCGCGTGCTCACGGCCTGCGGCCCCGTGAACAGAATGCCCCTTGACGAGTCTGCCCACCTCCTGTTTGGGCATCTGCTCTCCCCCTCTTACACAGAAATGCTCAGGGTCCCCATATGCCTGTTGTGAAGCCCCCACCCCCAACCCTTCGTCTCTCAGTCCCTTTCTGAGCATGTGGCCCCTCCCTGTTCAGTAACGCCACGCCACCACCCCTCTGCCCCCCAAGCTGTGAGACAGCCGCCTGCCTTCCAAAGTGTAAAGCAGTATTAAGACCATTGCTGCATGTACTCAAAACACCCAAGTTTTCTGTTCCCTTGGGACAGAAAATTGCATGTGAGGTGGGATCAAGTTTCCGGGACCCATGTCAGTTCCACCACAAAGTCAGACCCCCGTCAACACAACTCCATGAAACAACAAAAATCCAAACATTTTCTTTTGCATTGTGTAAATAGAGCTGGATGTGTTTAACTTTGTACGGGCAGTTTTCTGTATATTTGCAACACTTGGGTTAGAAATAAAGCAGACTGGACTTTGGTACCTGACCTACTGAGATGCGTAAGCTCCGAGTCTGTACATGCGATTGTGTTTTCTGCCTCCAAAGACCAAACCACACGAGCAGAGAAGACCAGTCAGAGAGCCAGCACCCTGCCCTTCCCATGCCCAGTGGGTGACCTGCGGGGCCGCAGCTCACTCTTCCCGCGCTCCAGGCTCACATAGCGCTCCTTCCCGTGTGAGGCCGGCGTTATCCCTGATGCCCAGAGAGTCCAGCAGTCGCACAGCCCACTCCCAGGTTGTAGCCGCTGCACGTGTCTTCTGGGCCCCGCAACATGCCAGGGCTCTCCAAGCGTCATACAAGTGTGAGGGGCCTTCCAAAAGTTGGTGGAAAATGGGATGAAAAGATGGGGATTTTTCAAAAGCTTCTTGGAGCTTCCTCCACCCCACCCCCACCCCATGTTCCCCTCAGCAGGTGTGAGGAATGAAGATATACTGAGCCATCTGTCCTCGTCC